GCGAGACGGTGTACTGGATGTCGGGGCGCGCGTTGGTGGCGAACATGAGGCTGCCGATGAGGCACTGGCAGCGCTGGAGGAGCTGCGGGTCGGGCGCGGTCTTCTTCTCGGCTGCGCTGATGACGATGGACGGGAGGTCCTTGTCCGCGGGCACCTTGTAGCCCGCGTGCGTGACGCCTGACGGGAAGAAGCGCGCGCGCAGCGTGTCGATGTACTTGCTGGCAGACAGCTTGAAACCGGTCTGCGTCTTGGTGATGTTGAGCCCGAGGAACTCGTGCACCTTTCCCTCGTGGACCTTGAGCGGCTTGCCGACGTGCTTGTTGAAGTGCTCGATGTACTCGTGCGCGAGCGCCCTGCCAGCGGTGGTCCCGGAGTGGAAGATGCCGAAGTCGTCCACGTAGATGACGACGATGAGTTTCGTGCTGTTGCGGGTGAGGACGAAGCAGCTCGGGTCCGCCTCGGACTGAACGAGCCCAGGAAACGCCTTGTTGATGGACTTGACGTGGTTCCACCAAGCGTTACCTGCGGATGGTGCGCCGTAGAGGTTGCCGACCTCGCACACCATGTCCTTCTCCTCGCCGGTGATGGGGTCGATGTAGCAGTACTCGGGCTTGCCCTTGAGCCCCTTCGGCATCTCGCAGTACCAGGTCTCGCCCTCCCCGGTCGCCGCCGGCCTCCGCGGCGGCGGCGATGTCCCAGCGCCACCCATCGGCCAGCCCTCAGATCGATCGGTCGGCGCTCAAAGTCGGCTTCAGATCCGAGAACGCTGCTGGCGCCGCCGCCGATCCCAGCGGCGACGCCAGCAGCTTCCTCTGCTCTCCAATGCGCCGAGAAGCGACGCGGGGGTGCTCGGCCCGCCGTGGACGTCGAAGGCTCCGCCGGGCGCGCGTCGGCCGGTCCGGTGGCACCCTCTGCGCGCGGCACCTGCCGGCGCCCCGACGACAGCCGTCGCGCCACCGCTGATGGAGGGGCGGTCGGCGCCGCTGCCGCCGCGCCGCCGGTGGGAGGGGCACTGGTGGTGGCCTGGGCGGCCCTCCGCCGCCGCTCGGGGCGCCCGGGCAGCGGTGGCAGCCTGCGCCGCCACGGCTTCGAGCGGGGCTGCCTGGCTTCGAACGGGGCTGGCCCCGCGGCGGCGCTATTCTTTTTTCTACAAGCAAAATTCGAGCCAATTGAGGAAACTCAAGCGGGCAGGCTGGAAGCACTGAGGGACGGCCGATGTTCCGGCCCAGTGCCAGACCTGATTTTAGAATCGCTCCGTTGAGAATTATAGTATCGTGCGCGCTGCACTCTAGGTCCCGAGACTCTTCCCCAAGTTCAGCAGAGACGAGACAATGCTTCAATCACAAGCGCAACCCTCTCTCTTGGGGGGCCCCATGTCGTTCGTTATCGCTCGTTGCACCCGTGTTTGCAGCCGAGCAGCCCGCACAGCCGCCGCCCTCCGCCACCAGCGTGCCGTCGGCCGCAGGCAGAGCGCCCGCGCTGCTGACGGAGCGTCGCATCGAACGGTGGGGGCCGTCGCGGCGGCGCAACCTCGCCTCGGGGCGCGTCGGCGGCTCCGCCGCATCCTCGCCCCTCCCACGCGCGCGAAGCAGCGCGCTGAGCGAGCTGGCGGACCGAAGCACCGACGGGTGGGACCCCCCTAGCAGCGCGCGGCGGCTCTCGAGCGCGGCGCGGTAGAGCTCCTCCGCCTGAGGGGGCGCGCGCCGGTGGGGTGAAG